GGAGCGGGAACACGCGGCTCGGAAGCCATGCCAAAAGTTACCAGAGTCAGTTCATTCTCAGCTACGCCTTAGGAGGGGTCGAAGATCGAGTAGAGAACCAGGCAGCCAGGCTCGTCACGGCAAGGTGTTGGAGTCGTTACTGCAACCTCTGTGCCTCTTTACCTCGTATCATTCGGGGGCGAGCTGTAATCCTCCATGTAAGCCGCCTCGCGATGGCGCCACTCAGTCAGCACAACCAAGGTTGCTGAGCTCGAGCAGTGTTACCGAAATCAGACGTGACGGTGGACTAGATGAATCGAAGGTGTGAAGAACTGAGGACGAAGATTCCGCCGAACCTCTGGGCCTCGTTGTGGGACGAGACGAGATATCTCTAGAATCGACTATAAGAAGCTCTTATTCCACCACTTCTGTTCTCTAAAATCAGCAACTCGAGCAGAACATCCTCAGTAGAACCTCTTCGCCCGCCAGTCTTCGGCTCTGAAGCATCTTGCAAGTTCAGATCGTTCTTGAAACCCTTAGACCATCATTCACCACTATTCAACATGGCTACCGCTATCGGTGTCGTCGGAAGCGTCATCACCATCTTCTCTTTCCTCAAGGACATGTTCCCCGAGCCCGACAACCCGAGCGCTAAATTCGCCTTCAAGATCGGCCTTGACGGAGCTGGTGATCCGCCCCTGAGCAATGCCGGCGGGAACATCCCCGACGTCCGCTGCTGGAACGAGCAGGGCGGGTTCCTCGGCATCACCACCAACGACAACAACAAGTGTGAGAACGGCGCGGACCTCTGCGAGACTAGCGTCTCGGATGTTGTCCAGCAGCCCACTTATACCCTCTTCACCGGCAACGACGATGCCATTTGCATTTCCTGGGCTTCCGTGACCTTCCCGGGTGGCCAGAACTACGCCAACACGATCGGCAACTGGGCTCAGAGTTGTGACGAAGCCTACGGAAGAGGTGGTAACTGGTCAGTAGCCCAAGCTCTCCAGCCTGTCCTCTGCATGCCACTAACATCCTGTCACCAGGTACTACTCGGATATCTACGTCCCCACGGAGGACGGCCCTGACGAGACCGTCTTCTGCGCCTGGGTCGACAAGAACGGAGACGTCGACACCACCGGTATCCAGGTCCACTGGCCTGAATACTCCAAGGACTCCGGCACCAAGGGCCTCGACTACTACTGCAACAACGACCCCGTCCTGAGATTCACCGAGGATCCCGACCCCTCCGACGTCATCTTCTGGACCCGCAAGCGTGACCTATTCAGCCAGCAGCCCTCCACCTCGTCCGCCCGCTCCGAGGAGCGCCGCGCCGTCGACAAGCAGCACGCTCGCCTCGCCCGCCGCTTCGAAAAGGACACGCGCCTGGTCAAGAGCAAAGAGGCAAAGCACACGGCCTCGGGCCTCTGTGGGGCCGGAAGGTCGGTCGGCCCCAGCTTCGTGTCTCTCGAGGAGCGCAAGTTCTGCTACATGCCCACCAAGACGGTCTACCACTTCTGCGAGGACGTTGAGGGCGGTGCGTGCTGGTCGGAGGAGGAGGACAAGGTCATCGCCAAGGGCTCGACTGGTAGAGTTGCCGCTGTCCCTGAGATGAAATTCGACAAGGTCCTGAGCTGGGGTGAGAAATAGGCCTGCTGTCGACGATGAACTTCCGGTCGGATTGAATGCCACAGGATTGAAACAGGACTCACGCTTTCATCTGATCAGAAAAGGGGGGGTTATTTGCTATGTTACACACTGTTTGTGATTTTGTTCTTCTCTTCACTCATTAAACCGTCTTCAGACTCCAAGTAGAAATCAAAAAGCCACGTCCGGACAAAATGTGGTCGCTGCAACAGACCCAGGATTCTTGAATGTGGACAAATACCTGCTTGATTCAAGTTCCCGCCGTAGACTCATATGGCGGGCAGTAGCTACGAATAAGCTACTGCTTGATAGGATCTCTGCTGTAGACTTATGCGGCGGGTAATAGCCACCGATAAGCCATAATATAAAGGTACTCTAGCCAGAATCAGATCTTACCGCGTATCAAATGGAACCAAAAGTAACTACACAATAACAAAAGGGCAAGTTCAAACAGAGATAGCATTTCACGCAACAAACATACATCTAGGTAAGGGGTCTCCTGTGCTGTAGTGTAGAGCTAGAATTCAGTTTAAAATCTCACATTCTGTCCGGAGATGTGCTGGCATTGCAGGGCGCATGGGCTGTAGGATGGAACACCGAGGCCTCAAGGTACTTTTACGCAGCATCTTGAATGGGGCTTTAAACCCGTGAATTTCAACAAACAGTGAGTGGATTCAAGGTAGAAAGGGATGGGGGGGTCATGGAGTAGATCGTGTAATGCTTTCCAGATCTCCACTGACGACAGCCTCTCGACGAAGGCCCCAGCGCGACACGGAACCGACGCCGATTTTAATCAACCTTTTCACATAAAAGGTTGCTACTGCAGACAACATCGGAGAACAAATCACATCTTCGTCGACTACAACCACGGACCGGCACCGAATTCCGGAGCTCGGCATGTGCCTTCCAACGGTCCTCGCCATCGTCGGACTTTCCCCTGCCATGACAATAGACTCGGTCGCTCTCAAGGAGTAACTTGGCTGGAATGTTTTCATCCGCTCGACAAACATGTGCCGCGCCCTACTGCACAATATTTCGACAGGACAGGACGAGACGTCCGTTCCCCGGGATTACGCAACTCGACAGAGGGGTACCAGAAACGACGCGCTCTCAGTACTCGAGGACCATACGGGATGACCTACCCTCCAAGACAAAAAAACGTACAATGGGGGCGAAAAAAGAAGCGCATTCAGATAAGCCCCGCTTTCTTGGGAAGTGAACTGCGACTTGTCGTCCAGCGCCATCACATCCCGACCGACAGACTTATTGACATTTTGCCTAATATGGCGCCAACTACAGCCACGGGTTGAGCGGTGTTATTAAGACTACTTATTGTGAGGCCATAAGAGTTCCTCGTTTCTAGTATTATGAGGATCCTGTCAAACAATTAACATGATCTCGTAATGACAGAGCTTCAATTAAAGTAAATGGTGCTTTTATTAGGTGGGGCTTACGTTTCCTTCTTCTTGTCTGGCGACTCACCTTCTGAAAAGCTCACATCAAAAACATTGAAATTTCAAGAGTTAAGAAGTTGACAAATCCAATGAAAAAAGAAAGAGTTGATCCTAGGAAATGCCAAAAAGGTGTGATCAGTGGGAGGCTTGAACTCCCGGCCTTGGCATTACTGAACATGTCAGATGACATATTAGTACCACGCTCTAACCAACTGAGCTAACCGACCCTGCAAGAATCTCCAAATGACCTGTTTATGTACCCAGCCACAGTCCCGCAACCAAGGTTGGAAAATGAGTGCTCTCCATTGAGGCTTGTCCAGCATGCGCCTGCGTGGAAGATGGCGGTTTAATAGAAAATGATTAGAGTACGATTTTTCACCCTATATTCATCTCCCGCAACTTTAACTTGATCGCTAGCTAAGCGCATGTTCGCATCGTGCGGTTGGGCCTTGCATCCATCCTTGCGCATCAATTTGTGAAAAGTTCACATGATTAGGGTGCTCACCGGCCGCATACTGAAATCCGGCGGTCTTCTCGCATCGCCTACCCGAGATTGAACCCTATGAATGATGGCGTTTGGATCTTTGTAAGACTCAACCTCACATGGACGGAGCTTAGCCACGGCCGGCTCACCTTAAGTCCGGAAACGGCTGGACCGCCTTATGCGGCCGATGCGGGGCCGTCAAAGAAGTCGCCGGAGACTAAGCGGCGGTCGGGCCTACGGATTTAAAATTGATGTAAGCCGAGAGCTGTTGGCTTCTAATATTTGAGGAAGTTTCTGGGTATAGGCTTTCGCCGTGATGTCGCCTTCACAGCACACAATATCGTCAACTACTCAATATGTCAAACCAGCTTATTGTCCCCGATAGACCCCTCACGTGGCTCATCACCGGCTGCTCTTCAGGGTTCGGCCTGGCTCTGACACGAATTGCCTTGAAAAACGGACACCATGTGATTGCGACGTCACGCAGTCCCCAGAAGACCCCCGAGCTGGTCAAAGAAGTTGAGAAAGGCGGCGGGCAATGGCTACGGTTGGATGTCGATGATCTCAAATCAGGAGATGTCGTGAACGATCTTGAGAAGAATGGCACTGCTATCGACGTTCTCGTGAACAGCGCCGGGTGGTCTATCCATGGCCCAGCTGAAGGCTTTACGGAAGAGGAGACCCGAGCGCAGATGGACACTGTTTTCTTCGGGGCCTATCGTCTGATGAGAGCCGTGGCGCCGCATATGAGAGAGAGGAGGAGCGGCGCTATCGTCAACATCAGCTCAGGTGCAGGATTGGAGGGCAGAGAATCGATGGGAATCTACGCTGCTGCGAAGGCAGCTATGGATGGTATGTAGGCATCATATTATCGGGGGCCTCAAAGCTGACTGTCGCGACCGCAGGTGTCAGCAAAGTCCTCGCCAAGGAGATGGCCCCTTTTGGCGTCCGCGTACTATCAGTGGCCCTTGGATCATTCGACACCAACATGGGCCCATCGGTGAAGTTGGCGAGCACACCAACTCCGGCGGACTATGAGGGAAGCGCAATGGAGAAGGTGTATCGAATCATGGCGGCATCCTCCACGGATGGGTTTCCCGCAGACGGTGATCATCTGAAAGCGTCTCAAGTGATTTACGAAGTAATCACTGGCACTGGTACCGGGAGAGGAAAAGAAGGAGAGAGGATGCTGCCTCTTGGGAGAGATGTGTCGAAGCGTGTTGACGAGGTGATCGCTGGATATCAAAGAACCATGGAGGTCTTCGGAGACGTTTGCGATAATGTATATCTTGAGAAGTGAGCATGTAGAAGAGACATCGCACGACCTGAAGGCAACACACGTGTTGCATAGAAGAACTCGAAGCCTGGATCTGGCCTTCGAAAACTTAAATCTGTATGAAATAGGGTAATCACATCATCCTAGGATGTTGTCACTATCAGTCAATCTCTTCAAGAGGTGCTACTTCCCAACCCTTCTCACCGCAACCTATTATTATTCCTTTACCATCACTTATGTGGTTCCAACCCAGCTTTCTCAGTCCGTCCGGGCCACCCTCTGCAAAAGCAACATAAAGGTCCTGCCAGGCTTTAGAGACCTTTTCCTCAAGCGGTGTCGAAGGACCCCTGGCCCATGAATGGGTGCCGAAAACCAAGGGCATATCTGAGCTATGATACGCCCGAAGCCAAGGTCGCGGTGAGATGTTGGGGAACGAACTGGAGCCGGGTGGCGCAAAGTCTTTGAACAAGAAGCGAAAAGTAGGAGCATGGGCAGAACGCGCCCTATTTTAAGGTCAGCTTTGTACATCTCTCTCGTCGCTGATATTGTTCATTACCTTGCCATTTTGACCATAGGTCCAAGGAAGTAACATTTTGTGATTCGCTCTGCTACCGTTGGGTCTGGACCTTCGGGGTTATACAACGCTACTGCAGTGCCTTCGTCATTCATCGTCCCGCAGATCGCAGGCTGGCGATGGTCAGCTTATGGTGTTCTCGTTTCTGCCCAAGACTTCGAATCAAGTAGTCTTACAAGCTTGCTAAACTTTCCGGACTTGACACGCTCTTCGTAATCGTCAAACAGAGTAAAACCGTCGACAATAGGCCTAAAACTTAAGAATGGCCTTGCACTAGTCACCCAGTGCTCACGGATCGCATCCACTAGCTTGTCGGCTGGCTGCTGCCTCATGAACGCCAGCTCGGCGACAGCATCACCACCTTCGAAACCCATAGACTTTGCTAGGAAGTTGAAGTGTGTGCATTCGGGATCGCTCACTGGAAGTGGAGGCAGCGCGCAGCCAGAGTTCATGATAATATTTCTGACCAGAGGCTTGTCGGGGTACGTGAAAGTGTGAGCATCTATACTGCGAGCACCCGCAGACTGACCAAAGTGCGTCATTCGCGACGGGTCGCCGCCAAATGATGCAATGTGCTTGTGCACCCATTCCAGACCGAGACGCTGGTCAAGGAGGCCTAGATTTCGCTCATGAGGATTGAGGCCCGCGGCATTTGGAAAGCCAAAGATTGTGAGGCGGTAGCTGCATTTCGGAATCAGTAGGATTCTGAGCTTTTTGATCAATGTTCCTTACTTGATGGATACTACAATATGTCTCTGACTGCTTTCAACCCATGGCGTGGGATTTTGATATGGCACAGTTGTGCCGCCAACGAGGAACGCGCCGCCAGTGATGAAGACTATGACGGGCAGTCTGGCTGTTGATGCGCCTTCAACTGCCTCTTTTGGTACCCATATACATAGCGACAAGCAATCTTCGGAAGTCTCATCCCTGATCTGAAGTTCAGGAACATCTGTGTTGTACACTGAAGGTCTGCCGCCTTTGTTCTGTTGCGGACATGAGGGCCCGAATTTCGTAGCATCAATCGCTGTCAGAGGCGCTTTCGGTGTGGGAGGAAGCCAGCGTCGGGACCCTATTGGTGGCTCTGCAAAGGGGATACCGAGAAATTGGGCAACGTCCGGATAATCTTTATTAATGAACCCCTTGACTGCCCCGAACGTAGAATCGACCGTGAGGTACTCAACGCCGTGTTTGCTCTCGCTTATGACCGACATCGCGGATGCTGCTTGCTCTTCAATTGACTCAGATGCGGCGAGAAACCCCGCGGAGGGGTATTTAAGCTATCGTACGGTGGGCCGGACCGCTGTTGATAGCTTCGGATTGCGCTAATGCTGGCTGCTGGATCCCTCGACCCGGGAATTGGCTGGTCACGTCACAGCGGGTCACATACACATGACGGAGTTGGACTCCGGATTTGCGTGCAGTCAAGTTTTGAACGTTTATCGCCTGCGTCAAAAGAAGCATTTCACCTGGAATGAAAGATAGGTAGGAGTCTGTAATTGCGTTTGAGTTCAAGGATAGCAGTACGAGACAGGATACCCGCAGATACGACAACCTACCGATACCAGTTATCACACAGTAGGTACCTATCCAGTGTTCTGCAACAAACTCAAGGATACGTTGAATACCTTAGGTGCCAATGAGAATCACAGTTGGGCATCTGAGTAATATCAATTATAATCACACTTCTCTAACATCAACTGAGGATGCCGTCGCCTTCATAAGTGTACTCCATAATGTTGTGTGTTCGTGTTGGTCTTCGACTACACCCAGTTCTCGACAAAGTCCTGTGTATCTCTGTAAGATATTACAATAATTTTACCTACTCGAGCGGGTGCTTTTAGCCCCTTCTTGCAACAGAGACCAGACTTGGAGAGATGGCAATAACATGAATAATGCCGCGGGAAGCAACAGGAATGATCGACTGACTTGAGCACTGGATGCGGTTGGGGTAGGAAATTGCGACAACCAAGCCCGACAGCGTTGAGCCGATGCCGACGTATGCAAAATAAACCATTTCAGTGCGAGACTGCAATGCTCTCTTTCGGAACTCACCGCTCTACCTGTACGATTGTCAGTTTTCCATGCCTCCCCCAAACTGCTTGGACAGCCTGGATCCTGCTGGTTCCACTGGCGTCTTCCACAGTTACTGAGTCAGGTTTCTGAAGTTCAACATCTTCATCAGCTACGTTCTATGTGATTCTCTCTACGTTGTCTTCCTTGCTTTTTCAAGCCAATTTTGAAGCCAAACTGAAAGAAGTGTAAATACCACCATACAAACGTAAGGTTCTTGTGAAGCGTATTGAAAAATCAATCATGGCCGTTATCGTCGCTGTGGGTGAGAGGAGTTCAGCGTTCGCTGGACTTGTTAAAACTGCACTCTTTTCGTTCTTACGAGTCATTCGTAACAAAGAGTAGACCCGGCTCGGACTTGTACTCTGAATATTGCTATCTGCCACAAATAGTATTGTCGACACTTCCCAGAGAAATCGCGTGATCATGAAGCCTATCATCGTTCGGATAAGTCTCTTGTTATCACTAGCGATTCAGTCAGGCACCTAAAATTGAGCTGGCAAGATGCAAATCCTGAAGGATAGTGCCAAGATATAACTTTCATTCATCAATCATAAGCAGTTTTCTAACTCAAGGCCAATAGAGGCGAGAATGGGGTCGAAGGGTTAACTCCGAGACGCCCTAACCGTCTGCATGTCATCCACCTTCCCCATACGCGTAGCCCTGGCAAAAGTGGTTGCGATTGCATTAGCGAGAGGGTCACTCGCTTTTAGTGCGCCCAACCCAGATAGGGTCGCATACGGTCGCCGATGAACGGAGTTGGACTCCGTTACTTGAACCCCACCTCCCGGCTGAATCTGCCTGCGTCAACTACCTTCAGAGTACACGGAGGTCATCACCGACAGCCGCTCCTAACGACCAAACAGCCCTTTTGCCTGCGATCGCCTCAATCAAGTCAAACGTGGCGTGCTTTGGAATCGTAAAGAAGCCGATTTTCCGCAGCGTAACGGCCATAGCGACAATTTTCAGCCCCCGTCGCACGAAAAGTCTGGTCAAAATGGCCTCGACGGATGGGACGTTGGTGGTTGGAGTAGACGTCGGAGGTGAGCGACCGACAGGGCCCCCGGACCCGTGTCACTTACACCGACTCCTCTGCGTCTGGAAACTAACCGTATCTTCCAGGTACCAACACGGACAGCGTCTTGCTCAATGTCTGTAAGACCAGTGCGGACGCCGTGGTTGCGTCTCACAAAGCCCCGACCACCTCCAACGTGACGCTCTCTGTCCAGGCAACGCTGAAAGCTCTGTTGGACTCGTCAACCATTAACCCGGCGAGCATCACTGCTCTCGCCATCGGCACAACGCATTTCTTGAACGCAATCATTGAGAGAGACACATCGCGTGTCGAGAAGATTGCAGTCCTTCGCTTGGCCTCTCATAACTTTTCCACAGGAACACCGCCTTTCGCAGACTGGCCAAAAGCTCTGAAGCGTATCATCAATGGACACTCTGCGATCATCCCTGGCGGATGCAACATCGACGGCACACTCATCGGACCCATCGATGAGGCAGCGATCCGCGAGCAAGCGGCCATCATCAAGTCCAAAGGGCTGAAGAACGTGGCCATTGTTGGAATCGGTTGCTCTACCGACAAAGACTACCACCAAGAAGACGAGGTCTCTAAGATTCTTCGCAATGAGCTTGGAGAAGATGTCAACATCGTCCTGTCTCACAATATCGCAGGTCCGGGTCTCCTTGCCCGCGAGAACGCCACGATTCTGAATGCCTCGATTCTAAACTTCGCCCAGCGGACGATCAGGGCTTTCATCGGAGCCATGCGTAGGATCGGTCTCCAGTGCCCGCTGTACTTGACTTCCAACTCTGGCCACCTTCTGCCGTTTTCCGAAGCCATGCAGGCGCCCATCAAGATCTTCTCATCGGGTGCCACCAACTCCATCAGAGGTGCTGCTTTCCTTGCGTCGGACGCGATCGATCAATCTGGCAGTATCGTCGTTGACATTGGCGGCACGACTTCTGATGTGGGCTATCTGTTGAAGAACGGATACCCTCGTCTATCCAAGAGCTACACAGCCCTGGCTGGCGTGAAGGTCAACCTCGAGATGCCTTCAGTCGAGAGCATCGGCTTGGGCGGAGGTTCCATCCTACATGTTGGCGACGAGGGATCTGTTGCTGTCGGACCCGACAGCGTCGGTCATGACCTTGTTACTAAGGCGCTGTGCTTCGGAGGCGAGGTGGCCACGGCGACAGATATTGCTGTTGCATCGGGTGCAAAGATTGGCAATACCACCGTTGCCTTGCCGACCGACACTGTTGAGAAGGGCAAGGCGCGAGTCAGAAAGATGCTGGAATCTGTCATCGATCGCGCCAAACTGTCTCCCGAGCCGTGCACCGTTATCCTGGTCGGAGGTGGCTCCGTCCTTTGCCCGCCAGAGCTCACCGGCGTGAGCAAAGTGGTGCTGCCTGAGCATGCTGGCGTTGCCAACGCCATCGGTGCCGCCATCGCCAAGATCTATGGCTCGGCTGAGACCATTGTCTACGGCTCAGATATCCAGGGCGGCATTGCGGAGGTCAAGGCCAGAGCTATTGAAAACGGTATCGCCAAGGGGGGTGATTCCAGCTCTGTTACAGTCCTCCACGAAGAAGTTGCCGGCGTGCCATACGTGGAGAACCAGACCTCCATTAAGATCGAGGTTGCGCTGCCTGCGGACCATCAGCGGGTTTACTCGGAGATGACCAAGACGGCGGCCCCTGACCAACTCGTTGACGAGGAGATGTTTGAGGAGACCAAGAAGCATGAAAACACAGATGCTGGTGATGCGGACGAGGATGATACCGTCGATCTTAAGACCTACCGCCCGCAGATCGAGTCGAGCGGTCTCTGGACTCTCTCCGAGACTGACCTAAGGTTCTTGTCTATCGGCTGCTACATCCTTGGTTGCGGTGGCGGCGGGTCTCCATACGCCCCTTATCTCCAATTGAGACAGCTTCTTACAGAAGGAGAGACAATGAAGATCATTCGCATCGAGGACTTAAAGGACGAGGAGATGATGCCCCCCGTTGCTAGTGTCGGTACACCGGCTGTTAGTATCGAGCGTCCCGGAGGACACGGCGTATGGCATGCCATGCAGGAGATGGAGAAGGAGATGAAGACCAAGTTTGAGAGACTGATTGCCACCGAGATCGGCGGAGCAAATGGCGTCGCTACCCTTATCTGGGGAAGCTCACGGTACTACGATATCCCCACGGTTGACGGAGATATGATGGGTAGGTTTCTCAGACTAACGGACTCCAATACACCGTTCGTATTGCTAACACTATGTCCACAGGCCGAGCTTACCCCCAGTTTGAGATGGTCTCCCAATATATCCACGCCAAGTCCGTCAACGAGCTCCTCCCTGTAACTCTCTGCAGTGGAACCGGTCATAACGTTGTCATCCCCGCGACACAAACCGATGAGACTTCAGCAGGAATTGCTATTCGTGATGCATGCGTGGCCATGGGCTCAGCCGCCGGCGCTGCCGGCCGTCCTATCCCCGGAAAGCTGATGCGCGAGGTCGGAATCCCCAACACTTACTCACTAGCATGGCGTTTGGGACGCGTAGTCGCTTTGGCGCAGCAAGCCGGCACGGTCTCAACGGTCACCAAGAACTTGATCGAGGCTGCTGGGGGTCCTGGTAGCGCCAAGGTGCTGTTTCAGGGCAAGATCCGTGGCGTTGAAAGCACTCTGACAACGACGGCACACAGCCTGGGCAAGGTGACCGTTGAGAGGCTGAGTGAAAGCGAGATGGAAACGGATACGGACAGAATTGGCGAGGGCTTGAAGGAAGTTGTGGTTCCGTTCATGAATGAGAACCTCGGCGTTTTGGGCAAGCTTGAGGACGGCACGGAGAAGGTAAGCCTGGTTCCCACTGACAACTTGCTTGACAATGATGTTAACTATTTTAAAAAGGTCATCGCGACTGTTCCCGACTTGATCTTCCTCCTTGACACCTCCACTGGCGAAGCCATTGGTGTTCAGGAATACAGATACGGCCTAAAGGTGGCCGTCATGGTCATGGCGGGCCATCCCCTTTGGGCAACCGAGCGTGCCCTCGAGATTGCTGGACCAAAGGTTTTTGGCCTCCCCCACGATTACAAGACTGAGCTGAGCTACACCAAGCCAGTCAGTGTTATCGATGAATTCCGACCGAAAGCATAAGATGGCAACACGTAAGACCCTTCGCGAAATAAAACGGTGGGTGGGAGGAAGAATATCGAGATCCGCTATTACCCCAGTTTATTACTATCAGAAATACCCCAAAAAGTTAAATTCTCACAAATCATTATGGTATCGGTGGCTGATCTGACCAGTCAAACTCCGGCACACCGTCAAAGAAATTCAAATCTGATTCAGCCAGGAAATTGTCGCCTACTTCAGCCCAATACGCCGATTCGCTGCCCAAAAAGCTCATCGGCTCCCAGACATGGTGTCCAGGAGTTTCCAGGTCACCGCTTTGTGTTGCTATTCCCATGCTTCCTAGTGATTCATCCCCCGGTGTAATGAGAGTAGGATCGATGGGCCCACCAGGCCCGGGCGAGGCCACATTGGGGTCCGGTGCGGATGCAATCGCTGAAGTCGTTGCGGCTGTTGTCGAAAGCTCCTCATGCAAGACCGGCATCGACGCAGGTACTTCTGAGGCGCTGCGAGATCCCGGGACATGTCTCTCTGCCTCTGTGGGTGGACCAGCACTCCGGCGGGTCTTCGCATCCAGCACGCTCTTAAACTTCAGCCTGGCCTCTCCCGCGAGTGACCACGAATGAGCCATGTCTTGCAGTGCGTCGTCCAATATAGGTAGCAGGGTGTCGTTGGCTAGTGACGAGGGATTACTCATGTGCCTACAAGTAACTATTATCGCATTCATAGCCAAGATGCAACCACCCACGAAAAGAAGAGGCGCATTGCCGAGAGTATGTTCACTCTTGAAGCGCTGCAACACATCCACGATACCCTCCGCCCCCGCTCTGCATACTCTGAACGACTTGGCGAGCGGGTTCTTTTCATTTTCGGGCTTGTCTTCTGACAACGATGGCATGGATCCTATCGAGGCTATGAAGGGCAGATTAAGGCTGATGCGCGTGCTGTGGTAGAGAGTGCTTCCAAAGAAGAGAGTGTGAGTACCTCCGTCTACTATTCCCATCGAAGTCAGAGAATGCAATACTTACTGTAAAATGGCCACGTTGACTTGCAGGTTATCCTTATTGGTAAACCACTTCTTCCATCTCATATTCGTCGGAAGAGCCTCATGCCAGGCAACAAGTCTGGCGTTCAGCTTGTTGAGCGACACCTCAGTCCAACGCCTAGCATGCGCATCTGTCTTTTTCCTAGGCGCAAATGTCGTAGAGAGCATGTCGTGAATTATTCGGGCTAACTCTATTTGCTGGTTGAACAGCAGAGTCAATTTTGGCCCAGCCGGGCGTACCGTTTTCAGAAAGCCAAGGTCATGGGAAAAGAGCCAGTTTTCCCAAACCGGAGGGTCATGGCTATAGTCCTGTCAGCGGAAGGCACTGCAAGCTTCTGAGGATAACTGACGGCAGTGGCTCGCTCAAATTGACATCGGCGTCATTCTCGTACATGAATGTTGGGCGGCCTAGAAACAAACTGAAGATTCTGCACACGAATTAGAGCGCGCCATCGATTGAGAAATAACCTGCAAGACTAACTTGTCAGATAAGAAACAGCCCCAGTAGATCCGGCGTCGAAATTCGTTATCGAAAGGGAAAGGCGACTTCGAGTTCGGCCTGTCTTCTGAGCCCCAGTGGGTCGGTTCTCGTTGAAAGCCAATGTCCTGGCCCATTCTGAAAGCCATACCTGCCTTTCGCGTGAGCGATCGAATAATGCGGCAATGGGATCACCTTAGCGTACCAGCAAACATCCAGCCCCTCGAAATGTTTCCTTGTCCGACCTCGTAATATCCACAGCAAAGCAAAGCCTGCACAGAGGTTGGTCTCGGGGCGCTCAGGCCCTCCGTTGTCAGGATACTTTGTGCCGTATCCGCGAAACCTTGCGCCCGGGACCTGATTTCAGGATCCTTCGACATTAGGGCCCCGATTGCAGCTGCGGCATAGATCAAAGGAGGAGAACAAAAGTCGCCGTCGATGGGGTTGTCCTCGAATTCAGCTACAAAAGCCTCCCTGTCAATGAACATGAACAGTGGATACTGCCAGTAGAAGAAAAGACCCAGGCACAAACGCATTGTCTGGTTGATGAGGTTGCTTCTGCCATCCTGGAAGGGGGACTTCTTCGAGTTGCCCGATGAGCTGCCGCAAGTATCTCCGTAGTCATTTTGAAAGATACTGGTTGGGCCGTGGTAAATCATAGAGCCTGGACTGTCAGTCACCAGAACATGTTGCATCCACTTTCTTAAGAACCTCACCATCCAAAGTCTCTTGCAAGGTCGCCTTGGTCAAAGCCTCACTCAACGCAGCTTCGTCCTCCAAGGGCAAGCTAGAGAAAGACGGTACGTAGTCTTTGATCTCAACTTCGTCCAAGATCTGGTTTCGCTCATCGTTGCTAGCTTCCTTGAGCCGAGCCAAGAAGCCCTCGAGCGAGGCTATGCGAGACTCCAGTGCCGCAACATACTCACGTGACACCGGCGGCCGTTTGAAGTCGCTGTCCCGAAACTCGCACTTAGCCGAAGCTGCGGAGCAATTGGCGCACGGGAATGTGCGGGAACATCGGATCTGAGAGCGGCGCCGTTGTCAGCCGGACGAGACTTCCACAATGCGGCGGTGGCCGACGGCCATCGGCGAAGACGGGGCGGGAGATATCGGAGGGACTCCGGGGATTACAAATACCGCGGTACCTTTCTCTGTTGACACCGTTTACACCTTGTTTCATTACATGTTTAGTATCTTTCTGATTCAAGTTGACGTACTGAGATCAACTTACGATATCCGCTTCACGTTTTTCTTCTCCATCTTCAAGTGGGCATGCAGGCAGGCAACCACTACCAAAGAGACGGTCAGTCGCGCGCGTAAGGGGCTGGCAAAGGTGCGGGACAAAAACCACCGCGGTCACATGACAATCAATTTGTTTTGGACCCTTTTTCACAACTTGGCCGGTGCGCTGAAGATTGCGGGGTTGATTGAAGTGGGATGGGTGCCTGTTGACAGTTGACAGCGCGATGGCTGAGAAACCCTGCACTGAATCCCTCTGTGCAACGTGACCAACCACGTTCGTCATGGACTTGCCATTTGGGGGTTCGGTTCACTAATCTTAGGTGGCAAACGAATTCGTATTTCATCAGCGTCCTTTCTAGCATAGGTTCAACTCTGCAGGTTTCGTCAATTGTAATTCTGCGCTGAGAGGCCGTTATCAGCGTGGCCAGGGTGGAAGGATCCACAACCTAAGCAACACGATATCGCCGGAGCTTAAGCATTACAGAGCTGAGCGTGTAGCTGGACCTAGGCAATGATGAAGGTAATCAGCACGATGAGAGGGAAAAGCGCAAAAGTTCTCTGCGTGGGCCTTTGCAGAAAATCCAATAACAGGATTAGTGAAGACTTTACTGCTTAGATTAGTCTGTACGAATGGACCAGGAGACACTGTTATCAACTAGACAGTAGGGGCATTTTAATTTGTAGGTTTTTGGCCGTCCGTGGCAACGATTGAAGAAGTTCTCATACATACGACTCTTGCTATTGGATGACATGGTCACACAAGCTGAAGAAAGATTAAGCACATGTCAACGATTAGGCAGTTTTCAAGTCAGTTTTGATTGCAGATTGAAGCTGCCAGCCTTCTGATGCGCTTAGACGGACCTTTCAACTAATATGAATGGAAAAGAAATTTGAGATCGTTTTAGTCTCATTCACAATGCGTTTTGGACTTTTCACGAAGAGTCTAGTGCAACTCAGCAACAGAGCTTCGACATTCGCGCTGAGCTGACAGTGGTGTCTACAAGCTAAAGAGGGTAGTTCTCCCGTCGCTCTGTGTTGTTGTTCTCAACTATCCCCAATATCCCTTCTACCATGCAATATTTTAGCTCTATGTCTCTGGGATTTGCTAAAGACTTGACTATTTTATTTCCGATTGAATTGCTTCGACAGTTCCAACCTTCAACCACCGCGAACCCAGACTACTAAGCAACCGCGTTGTAACGCCACCCACAGGGACCCCACCATCTTACGTGATGAGCTCGGGTTCCAAGCTTCCATCACTCGCCAAAACCAAATCTCAAATTGCCAAGCCCTCCTCAATATCGTTTTCACCGATCACGGAGACATTGCGCTGTTTCTTTTGCCGCCGAAAGCCCACCCCGCGTGCCACAATGCAACGCCGAGCGGCCGGCCGAGATGTCGGATATGATACCCCGCAAGCCCCTCCTATCTTTGCTATCTAGGCTATCACACCATCATGCAACCTCACCCCTCCTTCTGATCTTGCCACATTTTCACAATCATTGCGGCATGCGCTAAACTTACTAAGCTTTCGTTCACCAAGGTACAAGGTTGACAGGATCTCCAGTTGCGGCTGAGTTGTCAGAGACACTATTCAGACGTCCCAGCAACCCAGAATGACGACTTCAAAGCACGTTGTCTTCCAGAACGGAAGGTTCTTCCGGTCAAACAAGGCGCCACCTGGACAGCGATCGGAGGCCAACTTCGCCGAGGCTCTCGTGATCAAGGACGGCCTTATCACATTCGTCGGCGAAGCTTCAGCAAACGAAGTCAAGAGCGCTATCAATGCAGGAGCTGAGGTTCGCGATGTTGGCGGCCGCCACGTCCTGCCGGGTCTCCTCGACGGACACATTCACTTGACTCAGCTGGGACAGACCTTGCAGAAATTGCCTCTGGACAAGTGCAAGAGCCTAGCGGACATCAGAAAGACTATCAAAGACCATGCCGCCGCCAACCCGGACCAGGCGCGTATCTTTTGCAGTGGCTGGATGCATTTCATGACACCAGAGGGTCCCTTAGCCTCGCTCATTGACGACTTGGATCCTCGTCCAATCTTGATCACAGCAAAGGACCTGCACTCTACGTGGTGCAACAGCGCCGCTCTGAGAGAGCTGGACCTGGACAATGAGCCGGACCCTCCTGGTGGTGAGATCATGCGCGACCCCAAGACTGGCAAGCCGAGTGGTCTGCTCTCGGAAGCAGCAAGCATGAAGTGGATTCCGTTGTACATGGCCAGGACTTCCACGATGGAAGATCGTATATCGGCAATCAAAACCGCTGTCAACGACTACACGAGTGCTGGATTCACTGGTCTCATCGACATGGCAATGGAAGAGGAGGGATGGGAAGCGCTGCAAAACTATCGCAAGCGTGAGAAGGAAGCCGGTCGACCGTTCCCTATTCGTTTCGCTGCCTACTGGATGATCCTGCCCAGGGACAATGATGCGGAGAACATCAAGCAGGTTGAAAGGGCTGCAGAACTCGCCAAAGAGTTCAATTTGGAGACGGACCCCGACTGCAGACTCGTGGGTATCAAGCTGGTGTGCGACGGCATCATCGACGCCTGCACAGCCTCTTTGAAGGAGCCATACAGCCACAACAACGAGAACTGCGACCCCGTATGGTCACCGGAACACATGGGTCCCGTTGTGGAAGCAGCGACAAAACACGGCTTGCAAGTTGCGCTCCACGCCATTGGTGACCGAACAGTCGCCAACGCTATCGATGTGCTCGAGAAGTATGTCGGCCCGGAGCATCGCCCTCGTATCGAGCACCTCGAAGTTACAACCGCGGAGGACGCCAAACGTTTGGGCAAGCTGGGCATTACAGCCTCCGTTCAGCCTGTTCACTCCGACCCTGCCATCCTACGCGCATGGCCGAAGCTCATTGGCGAACACCGCTGTGGACGCGCTTTCGCGTACAGCGACTTCGCCGACAGGGGAGCCCCCGTGGCTATTGGTTCCGATGCGCCGACTGCGCCGCATCACATTGTCAACAACCTTTACATTGCAACCACGCGGAGGTCGGCCCGCGAGCCGGAGTTGGAGACAGTTGTCAATCCCCAATTTGCGCTGTCCATGTGTGATGTTGTGGCTGGGGCCACAGAGGGTGCGGCAAGGAGTTGTTTCCTGGACGATCGTGTAGGATCATTTGAGGTTGGTAAGAGGGCTGATTTGGCTGTATTTGATCTCGAATGGAAGCCTGAGAAGGCTCTGCAGGCAAAGGCTGTAGAGACTTGGTTTGAGGGACAGCAAGTGTTTCCTGGGCAGGTTTGAGGCCCAGCGGATGGAGTTTGGTGTCGCGATAGATTAGATCAGCATGGGCACGCATGGCAGACATGCGAATGAGTTGAATAGTAGCAGGAGTTGCAATCCTACAATTCAGCATTTAGCACTAAGAACTCCATGCGCCCAAGTCGAGTTATTCCATTGTCTGCTCATCAAAATCGTCCAAGTACAAACCGAGCTACTTTGCAGCCAACCCAAGCAGGACACAGGAAAATACAACTACATCGTTCTGAAGCGTCTGGCCAACCTTAGGCAAAGTCCTTCTCCATAGTAAACAATCTACATGATGAAATGAGCCCCAACTACAGATGCTAAAGTCAGAGCAAGAATGACGCATTTGCTCACACCCAATGAAACAGACTCGCTCTTGTTATACTGAAGCTCCTTCTTGAGAGATGTGTAGTCGATCCATTCACATTTCCCCTTGAAAATGTCTTTGGTGTAGTTGAACCTTCTCCCCTCAGCTTTGAGCTCGTCTATCTTCTTACCCGCCGCCTCTCTCACACAGTCAGGCCAATTGATCGAAATCTCCGGCTGATGAGTGAAACATGTACTAGACTGGCAGAAGCGCTGTGTCATGTAAACGTTTGACCCATTCCGGTTGCTTGGACAACAATGCTCAAACATGTCGAAGTCTTGCCCGGGACTCACGAGGTACCCTCTGGTATAGATGACATCGCTTCCCGTGGTGCAGACGATTGGTATTCCAAGATCGGGGGCCGGCCTCGAACACGCTTCCGGATATGCATGCCAGCGCTCTTGCAGCTAATAGTAAGAAGTCAGACGAAAGAAGCTTGGTAGGAGGGCCAAGGAGCTTGCTGAAAGTGCTCAAGTACATACATGAGTTCGGTGACTCTCGTTGACATAGACGACTTTGTCCATGTTTTTGGTTGCCGATGTTTCGTTGTTGTTCTAAGCGGGTTTCTTGTTGGGATTATTGTTCGCCGCAGCTTGTGTGATGGGTGACGAGATTCCTGCCTACACCGGTCTTATAGGCACCGGTCCTATCTCATGTAACCGTGAAGCGTACGCTCCTTTGCCAATGACAGGTTTTGCGATGACGTGGGAAACATGAGAATGTGTAATTTCGCTTGGGAATCATGGGCGCAGGTGTTGGTGCTGTGCCGTACTTGTGTCTCATTCTAGAGGTCGCGTGGCTGTCAAGCTCCTTTCTCAGTTGCATTCAGCCAACTGCTTTGGCCCCGCTCAATTGGTTGTACCTGTCAAACCCGCCTATGCCAAGTCAATCTTGGCGAGCGATTTGCCTATTCAGGCATGGCGAAAGTCCTCGACATTTACCCGACTTACGTTGCATGCGACACTGAGAAACGGCGGTTGGTTTATGGATAAGGGCGCCAATCAAATCGTCTGCCTCAGTCAGGTTGTAACCAAAGGCTTTTGGCCCTTCTTCAGCCATGTGTGGTCCATATGGTCTGAAGCCCATGCAGGCAGATTGAAAAGCCATATCCTCACGAACGAATCACACAACTGGCATTGACATTTTATGCGGTTGGAATATCGGTTTCAACACGGAGCTCTTGGCATAAGTCTTGGAAGCCTGATAAATTTGGGGGCGTTGCCTCTGCTCATCGTGGATATTTGTGTAGATCGGGTTTGGCAACTCATTCCCAATTTTGTTCGATTCTAGGTCTAGAACTATAGACGTTTCCGTTTGCAGGACTGCGCCTTTCTGAAGCAGTAGCATGGCCGCCTTGAGATTTCGGAACGTGT